GATAGATAGATAGATAGATAGATAGATAGATAGATAGATAGATAGATAGATGATAGCATCAATACAAACTATAATATCAAAACTGACTGGATCTGAAACTCAGAAATGCAGCAAGTTCATGCTCTGCCTTCATTGTATATTACTGAATATAGGTCTTCATGGAAACTGAGGCGATCCATCTCTATTTCCAGAACAGGAAATCTATTCAACCCTTGTAATGACAGAGAACTCTTTAAAAAAATTATCTTATGACCCTGGAAGTCTGGACACTCCCAGTGTTAATAGAAATTTAGATGATCAATAAGGTAATACTATATTAAGTCTGTTTATATAATATATCAATATGTGTCTATGTAACTAATTTTATAAATCAAACTACATAAATATAGATTATACTAAAAAGTAATACATGTAATTTTCATCCTAAATTTAATTTAAATATACTTGGCAGATTTTTTTTCAGTTTAAAACGGTTTAGCTATTATCAAAACACTAGCTCTTCTATGCATTTCTTCTGTGGCCTAACAAAAAGAATTATGATCAATTCTAGGCAGAGGAGTAGAAGTCTACTGGTAACCAATAAATAGTGTATTCTCATATTCCAATCTGATAGCAATTTTTTGAGTAGCTTCCTATCAAATTTCAGCAGTAGGAATACTTCAGAGCAACAGAGCACATCAAACTTAATGTTTATACAACCAGCACTTTCTGTGGCTTTTATTCTTGATGTTCTGACATCAGACAACTGTCCATCTGTGAAGGGCACTAAAATTCTTTAAACCCTGACCTCTTCAGGCAAAGCTAAAGGAAAAAAAAAATACATTTTACATTATGCACCTTCATTTCCTTCTTGCACTACCTATGTAGCTTTCCAGAGTACCTTCCTTCATTTCATAAAAAAGTAAAGTTAGGCTATTCTAGCTTTGTAAGCTATTTAACAAATTTAACAATATTTTGCTATAAAATAGCTTTAACTTTTCCGTTAAGTAGTATAGTCAGAAGTATGCATGTTTTAGCATTTGTGAATATAGCAATAGAGTTTGAGTTGGGGATCAGTGAAGTGTTATGTTATTATTACCTGTAAATAGGTACTAATGTTCTCACACTTAGATTATTTGTTCTTTCCAATGATACTTTACATGGAGAGAAAAACAACAAATTGTGATTTCAAAACAATTAGACCCATTAGATCCATTCTCCACTGAAACCACAGTTCAAACATTTATATTTTACCTCTCTATAGGAAACAACAGTCAACCCCTTACTTGAATAGATTTAACTACATAATTGAATTCATATTTATTCAGAAGCAAATCCACAGAGTTCAATGGTGTTTGCTTCCAGATAAGTACAAATATAATAATTAACTTAACACTCTAAGTTTGCAAATTCAATTATGTAACTTGGAGCTGCTTAATAAAAGACATTACATATTATAAATGGATGCCACACAAGCAATCCAGTTTTTTAAAGATGTAAACAAAAAAGAATGCTGCCATCACACAGTAAAATGAATGCAGTCTTTCTTGGATTTTAGGAAATATATTGTGATTATACACACTTAATGCTCAAATATCAACATATAGAACAACAGAACTGATTCTTTACAATAGCAGTATTTCACATCTAATTAAAATATTTTTGTTTGCTACTACCTTGTATCTTAAAAATAGGTAGAGTCAGCAGCATCCAAATAGGAAAAAAAACTTGGTGTTTTCCATGCTTTAAGATGAGTCCCTGGTCCTCTAGATACCACTGAAATCTTTTAAGCAGTATTGTTATTTGAAGGTTTATTTAAAAGTTTTCCCACATATTTAAATTTGTAGCAGCAGCTTTAAACCAGGATAGTCTTTGGATTTTAAGACAGTAGAGAAATAAAAAACAATCAGTCCTGAAAATCAGTTACTAGATTTAGCGGTGTATGATTGTGTAATATGAGGATTCATATTTCCTTAAGTCTTATTTGAACTTTGAATATTTTTGTTTCACAGTACATTTAAGATGAAATAGACAAAAATATATGATGACGTTTTCTACAGTCATTTTAATCTATTCTTGTTGTGAAGCCAGCATTTTCAGTCTTGTAATAAGAAGGATTATTCACTACTCTTGAAATAAAAAGTTCAGGAAAAAAATTAGAAACTCAAGTGTAATTAATCGAGTAAGGAACAAAGCGTCCTTTGAATCTTAATTGGAATAAGGTTCTATGCACTGTGTTTAAGTGCACAAAAGGAAAAATAAGCTTTCCTGTGTCTCTCAGACTCTTAGACTTTGGGGTCTGCTGTTACTTTCCAAGTGTTGACAAGCATCTAACACATCTGCCACTGTATAATGGACCGAGGACGATTGAGCATCAACAGAACAGACACTGCAATTTAGCAGTGAGCCTCCAAAAATGAGACAGAATCCAGCAAACCAGCCTATAAACAGTGCTTCCCCAAAGTCCCACCTGGGAACGATGTCTGGAATAGTTTCATCCCAAAATTCCTGCACAGTGGCATGAGCAACCCAAGACACTGGGACTAAGGCTGTAGCTCCTGATATCCAGCAGAATATTCCTCCCAACAGCAGTAACCGTTTCTTTAGATCCCGTTGTTGTTCACCAATCTTTAAGCAATCCAATCCAAAACTTGAGAGTAAGAGACCAGAAAGTCCTAATCCATTGGATACGAACATTAGAATCCTAGAAATTTTGAGCTCGGGGGGTAAAGCTAAAAAAGAATCGAATTCTTTGCACTGCATTCCCCCTTCTTCTTGGACTACACAGGCTTGCCAGAGTCCCATTGTCCAGATTTCCAATTCGTTCAATTCTAAGTTGAGATTTTTCCACTGAGGTAAATAAGTAGTGAGGCAGGATAACACCCATCCTAACAGGCAAAATAAAATCCCTGCTAACTGCATTATGGTTCGGTTCACTAAAGCCATTGTAAAGGATGCAATTAGCTGGCTGAAAAACCTTTTGGCCAGCTTTATTGGAACTACAACTTTATATAGTGGCTGCAGCTCTGATGATGGTTGCTCTTTGCTGTCCTGAATATAAGCTTCAACTATTAACCCTTTTAGAACTCTGAAACATGTTTTTGTTCTTCCTGAATATAATGTTTCTTGCAAAGGACGAAGGACTCTGCTTAACCATGAGTTGGGTTTTGTGATAAGGATTTGATCTGTTACCTTCCAATTTGCTTCGTAAAATTATATCCCAATGCCTGATGATTGCAAGTCTGAGGATGAACAAAGAACGCTCTATGACCCCTCACCTAAAAAAAAACAACAGAAATCTTTGTGCTTCAATACGGATTAATTAGATTTTAAGTGGTGATAAAAAAAAAACAGCTCTGTCTGCAACAGGACTTCATTGTAATAGCTAAATTTGAGATTTCAGGGCTTCAAATCAAGGCCTTGTATAGAAAGGCATCCTGTTTTTCTATCATCTGTAGTACTATACTTCCTTAGTTATATGTATATGTTAAGACTTACAGTATCTTTCCTTCTCATCGTTTTTCTGCAAAGAAAGCTTTAAAATATATTGATTTTCTGTCTTCTGTCTGAAGTTACTTTTTAACAGGCTTTCTTTACATCTGACTTTTTTAGAACAAAAGGGAAGGATAATAGAAGTTTGATCTAACAGCTGATGTCGAACAGCACATGAATGAAGCATCTACCATTGACAAGAATTATTCATTTTAAAGAACAGCTTTTTAATCTTAAAGATTGAGAGTGAGGTGTTTGTGACTGTTTGGTAACCCATTTCCTCAGCAGCTATAACTAAAGTCACATTCAGGTACATTACCTTCACAAAAACACCTTAAAGCTCTTCTATGAAGAGTATAGAGAAGAATGAACTATGCAAAATAGGGCATGCACATACAACTTATTTTCTTTGGTCTTATTTTAGTAATGCATTTATACTTGCTGCTAGCACATAGAAAAAAACAGCCTCTTCACCATCAAGAATCTTATCCCAACACAGAGTATGTACTTTAGATTAAGAATTATGTATTATATCAGTCTGTCAGTATTTGGTTTGCAATGGCAGCTAGCAAAAATGGCTTAAAGACAGTGAGATTATTCAGATATAAAGAGATTCTCCATTTAAAAAAACACCCTTTATTTTAAGGTAAGAGAGGAAGTTTCACAATTTTCACTTGGATTTCATAATGCCAGCAAAGTGAGATTTTACTTTGAGTGCCATGTAAGCTTTAAACATTTTGTTCAGATTTATGTGCTACAATAGGCTTACAATTCAGCCCCCACAGCAACAGTTTGCACTGATTTTTCAGGCCACCCATGGATTGGGTGGATGTGTCCTCACAGACATTCAGGAGGTATAACTTCCCCAACCACTTGATAAAAATGCCTCTGCTGAAATTATGCCTAGTGCCTCTTCAATGTCTGACCAGACACATTCAGCCAGCCCAAAGGTGATCTGAATGATCAACATAAAGCTTATGGATGTTGACATATTTCCCATTATTCTATCAACTTTGAAACAACAGAGTAAGTGCCTTCTAAGTATTTGGTAGCCTCCCAGAGCAAGTGGAATTTGCTGGGTGTTATATATAGTAGCTTGTCCTACCAGTCTTGATTGCAGTATTGTTTCTTCCTCAATTGCTTTTGGGGAGGAGTACTGTTTTTTCTTTAAAATCCATTCCCCTATGCACTGATGATAGGGGATCCTGGTCTGCTAATGAAACATCTGCAGGAAAAGAA